CTAAGCAACCTCGCAAGGCTGTTGTGAGCGTGAAGCTGGCACAAAAATATAATTAATAAATGGATTCGCACACACCCTGCCTTACAGGCGGTAGATAAGAAATGGAGGTGACAGGGGAACCATTTTGTGCTTCCCACTGGAGGCAAGGAGAGCCTAAGCACGAACAAACCCATGGCCGAGGTGTCGCTAGAGGCTTGGGGGTGGCTTTCAAACATGCCTTGACAGGCCTTCAGCCTCAGAAAGGTGAATGGGCGCCAGAGGCCTAGTTGGTATGTTTGTTTATCTCAGTGTTTAAAGCAACAACAAAAGGTCAGAGTCCGTTGCCGTGGGAGATGCTTTTTTTTTTTAAAGCCTCCCACAGCCTTCCCACTGTCCAGCTGAGGCAGGCCTATTTACTTGTCAACTTCAGTTATTTAATTCATTTCACCACTGTTAAAGAAATAGGCCCAACTCAAAACGTGAAGACCCAGCAACTTGGGGGATGCTGAACTGAGAGGGAAGGAGATGCATTTGCAACTCTTGCTTGTGCAAAATACACGTTGGGTCACAGTGGGTGGCTTCCGGGTTTCTGGACCTTTTGCAATATCTTACCAGAAGTCAGAAGCCACAGCCCCACAACCGTGATAAGTAAGGCTTTGGTTGCAGGCCTTAGGTGGCAAAACAGGATGGGCCGCCCCTGGGCTCTTGTCTATTTTAACTTGAGCGCCTTTATGTTTACCCTGGCAAAACAATGCTATTGACACAAGCATTGGGCAGCAAATTCCTGTCACTAACAACAGAGCCCTGGGAAACTTATCTCAGTGGTATATTTGAAGGGAAACAGTATAATACTCTAGGTCTCTCTATAGAGCAGTTTGCAAACCAGGGGGGAAAGAGAACAGCCTGGGCAACTTTGATCACAGGTAAGTAGTCCTAAACTTTCTTCCCTACTTCAGCTAAGACTATTTACTATTTGAGTCTGTAGTCCGGCAGTTTGGGCTAATGGTCTAGGCACCTGGGTGACAGATAATACCCTGCACTGCTCAGCAAGTCCATCACCCCAGGATTGCTCAAAACTGTTTTCCCCAGAGTAGAAGTAAGGTAAAGGTAAAGGGATCCCTGACCAATAGGTCTAGTCATGGACGACTCTGAGGTCGTGGCACTCATCTCGTTTTATTGGCCGAGGGAGCCGGCATACAGCTTCTGGGTCTTTTGGCCAGCATGACTAAGCTGCTTCTGGCAAACCAGAGCAGCGCACGTAAACACCGTTTACCTTCCCACCGGAGCAGTACCTATTTATCTACTTGCACTTCGTGCTTTCAAACTGCTAGATTGGCAGGAACAGGGACAAAACAACGAGAGCTCACCCCGTCGTGGGGATTCAAACTGCTGACCTTCTGATCGGCAAGCCCAAGGCTCTGTGGTTTAACCCACAGCGCCACCCAAAAGCTTGATCTTAGCTCAAAAGGTGGTATTAGATAGAGTTGGATCCACTGGAAGATGGATGGTGATTTGCAGTAGATCCAAAAGGGTTTCTTATGTCACCTCCAGTCTATCATTATTCTGTGGGAGGGATTTAATCACATACTGGAAATTTAGGGTTTTGTACACACTATGCCTTTAAAATCCATTCAAAGCCCATTCTTTCCCTCACATAATTTTGGGCACTGTAGTTTGCCCCTTGCAGAGTTGCAATTCCCAGCAAACCCTTAACCAACTACTGTGTCCAGAATTATTTGAGGGAAATAATGAGCTTCAAAGGTGATTTAAGCATATAGTGTATACAAAAATAAAAAGAATCCTGGACTTTTTTGCAGTTTGGGGGAGTGGCAGGGTTAAAAGTATGCAAAGGGTAGGGGCATGGGGGAGAAATATGATTCAGTTCACATTTAAAGGTGAGGCTGCTTAAACCACACTTAAACAATACACAGACTGAAACGGCACCATCCTTTGAGATTAGCACTTCTTCAAATTTTGCAATAATGTTCGCCTGCCAAGCACTAGGGTACTGTGTGCATAAAAATGCATATATTCATAATAGCAACATACAAAACTGCATTATATTTTTGAAAACTGCTTGTGGTTTGTCTTTTTGAAAGGGGGAAAGGATGGATTATACCTTGGAAGACACACAACGGAAGGAGAAACTTCTGAGGACTGTTTATGCCCTCCAAGTTAAATCAGATGCCACATTTCAGAAAGCCAGCCCTCTCCTGAACAGCCACCCTGGTACAGGCATGGTGACAGAACACCAAGTGCACCAGCTGGCTGAGAAAGCCAAGGTCATCTGCCATGACCTGGACAATATAAAAAACTCCCTTTACTACCGGCAAGATGAACTGGTGCAGCAGATCCCAAACCCCAACGGCAACCATTATGGAGGTGTGTGTGGAATTCACTGCTCGCTTGATGGGCTTATCTACATGACTAGTGAAAATGCACCAAGGGTCCACTTCCTCAACCGCTCAGGCCAAACATTTCAGTCTATACCATGTGTGGAATGGAAGAAGAATGAGACTTTTTTGCCAGAGGACGTGACCGTGACCAGGGCAGGGATGGTGGCAATTACAGACCTGGTCAATGGGACTGTCCGCATCTTCAACAACCACTCCAAGTTCTCCAAGGGAGAATGGCTAAGAATTGGGAAGTTTTGTTCCCCCAGGGGAATTGGAGTGGATGCATCTGGAAAGATTCTGGTGGCAGACTACACGGAAGGAAAAGTTCATAGCTTTGCCCTTGACCGTGCTTTCAAGGTGCAAAGCACCCACTCTGTCTCCAACCTGCGTGGGCCACGCTACGTGTGCTTGGCCCCAGAAGGAGGGTTTGTGGTGAGTGAAGAATGTGGTGATGTCAAGCTCTTCAGTAGCAACCACAAACTGGTCTCTTCCATCACCAGCAAATATGGCCACTGCTTTGGCAATCCCTCTGGGGTCTGCGCTGATAGAGAAGGCAACATCATTGTGGCTGATGAACAGCACCAGAAAGTCCACTTGTTTCCCAGGAGTGGGTCTCCCATCTGCCTGGTATCTAAAGGTCTGCAGAGACCAATGGGAATAGCTTGTTCCACCCAGGGGTTGCTGTTAGTTGCTGATAGTGGAGATAACTATGTCAAAGTCTTCAAGTACCGTGTGAGACCCCATTACAGCTCTGACAATCTTTGTATATCCAGTGACAGTCCAAACCTAACACCTAGAGGGAGAGCAGAGTAGGATTATTCCATCATTCACCTCCAGGCATCTTCTGCTTTGACCTCTGCCACACTACCTCATCTGACAGTACAGTCAGTTATCCAAGTTTTTCTAGCACTCAAAAGGACTTGCTGCAGCAAACTACACCTTTGTCACATGGTGGACTCGAGCTAAACAGCTTAGATCCCAATATCTGACCCATATCCATATCTTGGATGTTATGACTGACAGAGGGGGCCCTTTTGGTAGTTCCAGTACCCTCAGAAGTTCAAGGTGGCCTGGAGAGGGCATTCTCTGTGGCAGCCCCTACATTGTGGAATTTCTTCCCCACAGATATGCGACTGGCACTTTCAGTATGCCAAAAGCATACTGGCCTTCTTCCTGGCCTTTGACACCTGATATATATAGTTTCAGGGCCCGTGCTATTCTCTTGACTGCAATTTGTTTTAAAATGATTTTAAATCACCCACCTGCGATTCCCAACAAGTGGTATTCAGAGGCATACTGCCACTGACAGCAGAGGTAGAACATAACCTTTGTGGCTAGCCCTAACTGGCATGGGAGTTGTAGTCCAAAGCAGATGGAGGGCACTTGGTTGGTGAAGGCTGTACTACCACATCTGAAGCTAGCTTAGGGGCTACAGAGAAGTCCGTGAAGCCCCTGGCATTTAACAGTGACTGTCACACCCTGCCCAATGGTAGGGCTGGCCCAGTATAGCCCTTGAGGAAGAAACCTGGTTCTTCTAAAGAGCCAGAGCCTTTTAGGAGCCACAGACATGCCATTATTATTAAAGAGAAAGTTTTCTCTAATGTATGTTTTCATGAAAAGTAAGATTACCTGAATTATATTTGTCTCTGGTAATGTTAAAAACTAGAGTAAATTATAATAAAATTATCTGATCACAGACCATAGCAGGATATTTAGAAGGTCAAAGTAATAAAAGAAGTCAAAGACTCCCCACTGTTTCTTGTCTTATTAACTTTGTTTTTATTCATAACATTTAGAAATGGATGCCACATATTGCACCATATTAACTGGGAGGCAATTTGGGGTTTACTTTCAGAGCAAAAATATATGCTGTCTACATTTCATATTTTAAATTGTGACTATCTTCATTTGCGAGGATTGTAAAGGGACACGTTGATAAATGCAATTACAATGAAGCAATAGGGAAATAAGGGCAGAAAATATTTAAATGATCCATGCATGTGTTGCTTTGTCAGCATTTTGCTTATTAACATCCTCCTTTATTTCAATAGAGAATGCCTGCAAATAGAGGGCTCTAAAGTTGCACACATGACCACCCTATTATTCCTAATGCACGAACCTAAAATCCAGACTTTTCTCCTTAATTTAGTGTATCCAGTTGCTGACTGCCAGTTGCTGGGAGAACCCAGCAGAAGAGCTACATGGCCCTTGAGTCCTGCTTGTGAGCTTTCCACAGGCATATGGTTGGCCACTGGACAGGAAAGGCTCAGCCTTTGGACTAATGACCTGGTTGGAATTTGTTTTCAAAAACAGGTAACAAAAACAATACAATGAATGTGATAAACACCCACATCCCTCACTCACATGGATGAAGTTGCTTATTATGGATGGTTGCAAATAAGACATACAGGAAGGCACAGAACAAATTTCTAGTGCTATCAGCTTCCAACAGAAGTGTGAAGGCACAAGCTACAGTTCTCAGAATTAATAGAAGAGATGAAGCTTATCAAAAAGAAGGGAGATGCAGACATTGAATTGGAGGGAAAGAATGGGTTCCACCCAGGGGTGTGGTATACAACGGCTGAATTTTGCATGCCTTCCCCAGTTTTGTAGAGGAAATTACTGATAGTTACTCTTGGGAGCCTGGCGTGCTCTGGTCCATGGGGTCACGAAGAGTCGGACACGACTAAACGACTAAACAACAACAACTACTCCTCTTGGGAGCGGCAAGAGTATTCTGCTGTTTAGAAACCTGTTCTACCTTCTGGGATTCTTTAGGCTTGATCAGGTCAGTATGACATCACAGGCCAAATACATGTCAGATATAAAATACCTTGTTTTTGCTCTGCTAGCTTGAGGTGTACTGCCTTAGTACAGAATCTGCTTGCATTTTGGCATCACCTGATATCTTTTAAGTGGATTTCTTTTATTGTTCTGCTATTTTATTGTAAGTAGCTCTGAAAGCGTGTGGCTTGTAAATTCTTCAGATTAATTAGTAAATATAAATAAATCAAAGGTACATCTCGTATTTGTTTTAAAAAACTGTCAGTCTTAGAGAGCCTTAGAAAAGATTTCCCTCCTCAACAGCTGGGGATACTGAAAATGTTCGTAGGGGGAAAAAAGAGTTGGCAAAAAAAACCCAGGCCGCTAAATGGGACGAAAGAAATTGTTTTAAAATGAGTTGGTAGAATTTCTTACCGGAAACCTCAGGAATCTGCTGCCCTTTTTAAAACAATCTACTCAATCAAACAGAACGCCACTTCAGGAGACCGGGGGGTCCGTCCGGAACGCAATTAGGCAAGGACTTTACGGAGCGCTCTTAGGAACGGACTGCGTTTCCTAGCAACCGGCCTGTAGCACCCGGAAGTGGCTTGAATGTCAAGAGGAGCGGGCTCTTTCTTTTCTTTTATGCCTGCTAGAAGGAGTAGCGGGAGGAAGTAAGTGTCGTCGGCGAGCGGCGGGGAGTTCTGACGGCTTGGGAGAGAAAAGGATGCAAAAAGGGGGAGGGGGAACCGCGGCGCGGCATGGTGGGATGGAATTGGGACCAGGGTTGCCAGCTGCTGAACTGACCCAATGACTGGGTTGCTCTGCGGCCATTAGCGGGTGCTAGTATGTTATCTCCATGCCTCCCCCCAAATTTCACCTGCTCATTCCTGCAGAATAAGCCGCTGTTAAAAGCATAAGAGCCGGGCAGGCAGGTTTCCCCCTCCTGGCTAGTTGGTCACCGTAATTGGGCTACTAAGGCTTGTGTGGATTGTGCGTGGCTAGCTGAGTTATACTGTGCATATTGCTGCATTTCCCAAACCCGAGGTGACTGAGAATTGTGGCTTCTGTATAGTAAAGTAGTAGTGGAAGAGGCGAGGGGAGAAATCCTACAGGCTGGAGCAAGGCACATAGGCTTATTTATTTAATTACACGTTTATTGTTCAGAGTGGTATCATTCCCTTTCTTCCCCTTATCCTCATGACAGTCTTGTGAGGCAGGCCAGGCGGAGAGAGTGAGTGACTGGCTCAAGGTCACCCAGTGAGCTTTGTGGCTGAGAGAGTATTGGAACCTGAGTTTCTCTGTTTAATAATACTCATAGTTCCCTAAATTCCATTCATACTGGCTCTAGCATCTGGTTTGAGGCATAAAATGCTTAGCCTTGCTGAGGCTATGTAATTCTGGTATTGATTGGTGTCTGAGTAGGATACTGCCTGAAAACCCTGTTATCTTAGGTTATCTCTTGGGAGAAAGGCAAGATTACACCATGCAAACTCTGTATGCTGAAAATTTCTATTTAATTGCAAATCAAGGTGCATATGCTATCCTCTATATTGGGACTACTTAAGCCTTTTTTATTTCTAAAATTATATTTTGGGTTTTTTAGTGTAGAGAAAAGGTGAGTAAGAGGAGACATGATAGAGGTGTATAAAATTCTGCATGGTGTAGAGAAAATTGATGGAATGAATCTTGTGCTCTCTCTCGTAACATTCAGGACAGAAAAAAGAAAGAACTTCACATCACGGTGCATAAACTACAGAATTTGTTCTGACAAGAATTACGGTAGTTATGGCCACCAACTTGAGATGCTTTAAAAGAGGGTTAGACAAATTCATGGAGGAGAAGGCTATATTAATGGCAACTAGTCTTGCTGATAATGTTATACCTCCTCTGTCAGAGGCAATATGCCCATGAAAGCCAGTTGCTGGCAATCACAAATGGGAAGAATGCTGTTGCCTTCACGTCCTGCTTTTGGGCTTCCTATAAGCATCTGGTTGGCCACTGCGAGAACAGGATGCTGGGTAGATGGGCTTTTGGCCTGATTCATCAGGCTCTTTTATTGTTTTCTGAAACAAGTACACATACAACCAAATAACACTGAACAAAACTCAAATGTAAAACAGAGCCTTGGAAACACATTTACCTCCCTTAAACCTTTTCGCAACTTTGGGATCCCTTCCTTCTTTGTAGGTACTGGCAGTTCATTAGGATCTGGTGTTCTTTCCAGAGATAAACACAACAGGGTTTTTTCCTGCTCTGCATCATGCTTCTGATTTTATCTTCCCTTATACTCCAACAGCTTGAACCTATGAGTGCCAGATTCTGATTTTACCAACTTGATTGTGGCATTACCTGACCCTACTATATTTAGACTGCTAGAGTGAGAGAAAGGGAGATACCTGTTTTCTGCCTTTAAGTCAGTGTATATCATTGTCAGGGAGCTTTTTATGTAGTCTGGGTTTCGTGTGACAGAAAAGCACTTGGGCCCAATGTCATATTACAGTGAAATGTGGCCAGTCCTCCACATCATCTCAGATAGCTGCGTACCTTTGCAACACTTGTAAACTATAACCCTCTCTTATTTGAATTTTGTATCAGTGCTTATGTGAGCTACAAATCTGTGCCACAAACTCACCAAAAAGCCTTATGTGAACCATTCTCTCTTTCAGTCCAAGCAACCCATTGGCAAAAGGATATAGTGATATTGACTTACATTACAGGGTTGCTGTAATAATTACAAGATAATGTATATGAAGTGCCTTGAACACTCTAAAGTGTTCATGATGGGGTAATGCTGCATTTGGATGGCCTCCGTTTCTGTTTGATACTGCTGAGTTATTTAAAGTGACAGTGTCAGTTAGTTCCAGTGGTCCGTTTTGCTCTCTCGGGGATATTCTCAACCCTACCTGCCAAGGGTTGAACCAGGATCTTCTGCCTGTAAAGCAGGTGTTCTACCCCTGAGCCCTTTCCCCTAATGATTAGAATCACTTTGCCTGTGGGGTGATGATGATGATGATTTATTATTTATACCCTGCCCATCTGGCTGGGCTTCCTCAGAATTATGAAATTCTGTCCTGATGAGCACGGGTGGCTCTGTGGGTTAAACCACAGAGCCTAGGACTTGCTGATCAGAAGGTCGGCGGTTTGAATCCCCGCGACGGGGTGAGCTCCCGTTGCTCTGTCCCTGCTCCTGCCAACCTAGCAGTTCAAAAGCACGTCAAAGTGCAAGTAGATAAATAGGTACCACTCTGGCAGGAAGGTAAACGGCGTTTCTGTGCGCTACTCTGGTTTGCCAGAAGCGGCTTAGTCATGCTGGCCACATGACCCGGAAGCTGTACACCGGCTCCCTTGGCCAATAAAGCGAGATGAGCGCCGCAACCCCAGAGTCGGTCACGACTGGACCTAATGGTCAGGGGTCCCTTTACCTTTACCTGTCCTGATAAAGGCCCAACAAAACTTGCCCTTCTACTCATGGGGTTCTTTTTTGTATTGTGGGGCACTGATCAACGGTGGCGAGGGGGACAATCAGGGTCAACACACATGTAAAAAGCACCTCTCCTGCTTGTGGAGAGCTTTCAAAGTATGGATTGGGCCAGTTGACAGCTAGCTCTATCCACATATTCACTGTTGAAGGCCAGGCTGCCTGAGAAGGAAGAGTTTTGAAGTGTCCCAAGTTGGAACATTTGTAGGACAGGTGACAAATCCTTACCATTCCCTCACCCACTGATTCCCTCCTCCCCACACACAAATTCTCCAAGACCAACGGCTTTTAAGCCCAAGCCCCCTCCCCCCAATTTCTGGATCCTTTTCTGATGGAAAAATATGGGCAGAGAAAGGGCTTTTATAGTGAAGAACTAGTGGTATGGAAAAGATTAAGCCTGTCTTTCTCCCTGCCTTTTACAGTGGTGCCCCGCAAGACGAACGCCTCGCAAGACGGAAAACCCGCTAGACGAAAGGGTTTTCCGTTTTGGAGGCGCTTCGCAAAACGAATTTCCCTATGGGGTTGCTTCGCAAGACGAAAAAATCTTGCGAGTCCCCGCGGGTTTTTTCCGCTTTCCCCCCCCTTTTCCTAAGGTGCTAAGCCGTTTATCAGCTGTTCCGCTGATAAGCCGCTTAACAGCTGATCGCGAAAAGCCGCTAGACCGCTGTAGCGCTAATCCGCTAAGCTGTCAATGGGCTTGCTTCGCAAGACGAAAAAACCGCTAGACGAAGAGAATCGCGGAACAGATTCTTTTCGTCTTGCGAGGCACCACTGTATTTTCTACAAATACCTTCTCTGCCCCTGTGATCTACCAAACTTTTGTTTGCCAATATAATGCGTAGTCCCCCCCCCCCCCAAAGATCCTGCTTTCTTGGAAGCTCCAGCTTGTCCCTCCAGCCAAAGTATGTGCATGAACACGTGCACACAAGTATTTCAGAGGCCATTGAATGCTTCTTTTACAGTCCACTGGAGGGGAATTGCAACACTATGCATTTTGTTGTTTATTCTTGTTATAAGGTGCACTCTCTGCCTGCAGCTGTGCACCCAAGATCTTCCTGGCTGCACACATCCTTTAGTGGTTCCTCAACCCTTATATAAGTGAAAGGACTGGAGAGGAATTGGCCCTTAGTACCAGTAACAGTGGTCCTCTCCACATTACAGGTAACGGGACATGTACCAAGCAGACATCCCTTTTCTGCCTCAAGGGGTTGGGAATTCATCCATGAACAGACATTGCCTCCTGCATCATCATTTGACAGGCTGGTAGCGGTGGTGGTGGCTCTGAGTAGATCAGCCAGGGCGAATAGAAGCATTCGGAATGCAAACAAATTGCATTTCTTTTCCAGAGCAAAATGTCAGAATCACAGATATTACCGTAGATCAATTGGAAAGTTTTAGCAGGGACATCTATTTTATGTATCTCTCCCTTTCAGTATATATTCCATAAACAGACAGTAAGGTTTCCTTTCCAATCACTGGACCCATCACAGAGCATACTGCCCGAGGGGTGGTTGGAGTTTTTTTGCTTTGCTGAAGGACAGAGAAGGACAATGTTTTCCGGATGTTGTTAACTCTGGGCTTGCCCCCGCCTTTGCTGCTAATGGTGTTTCTGTTTGATACTGCTGAGTTATTTAAAGCGACAGTGTCAGTTAGTTCCAGGGTCAATTTTTCATTTCTGTGTATAAAAACTGAGACGTTGATGTCACCTTAGATTTCAGAGTGATTTTAAAAAACTAAATAATGCAATATATGCCTGCCTTAGTGCCTTTCATCTGAGGAGTCTGCACTACTTTATATAGAGTCTCACATAGGATATATGTAGACTCACTCCCTTTGTTACTGGCCTGGTTCTTGTGCCTTTAAGGTAGAATTGAACCAATTAGCAGCATGAAACTAAGTGGTAGGAAAACCTTCACATTTTAAATGCGTATGCATCAAGCTGCTGTTCAAAGCACAGGCGAAGGGTGAGTGGCAAAACCTATATACAAGGCACAGTTAATAGCTGTGCCTTATAATGCAGAAAGTTAGCAGGTGAAACATTTTCCTGGCATGGATGTAAGTGCTGAAAACAGCTTTACTGGCTAAGTTTTTGTGTTGCGCGGCTGCTAAAGGCATAGCAACCCTGCCCAAGAAAATACTGACAACCTTAGCCACAAGTTGTCAATAGGTTTGTCAGTACTGACTTAATGAAGTTTAATGACATGAGCATGGATGCATAGGAGCATAGGAAAGTGCCTTACACCAAGCCAGATCATTGGGCGACCAAGCTGAGTGTTGTCTACTCTGACTAGCAGCAGCTCTCTGGAGTTACAGCATGGGCGTTCACAGCCCTACTTGGAGACACCAAGGATTGAATCTGGGACCTTCTGCGTGCAAGGTAGATGCTCTAGCACTGTGTTATGATGAGCACAGTGCATCAGGAATGGGCTTAGAGTAGATCCTCATTGTTCTCAATTTGAGGATGTACAAGAGAATATAAATACAGTGGTACCTCTGGTTACAAACTTCGTTCCAGAGGTCTGTTCTTAACCTGAAACTGTTCGTAACTTGAGGTACCACTTTAGCTAATGGGGCCTCCCGCTGCTGCCGTGCCACTGCCACGCAATTTCTGTTCTCATCCTGGGGCAAAGTTCTTAACTCAAGGGACTACTTCAGGGTTAGCGGAGTCTGTAACCCAAAGTGTTTGTACCCAAGGTGTTTGTAACCCGAGGTACCACTGTACATACATTTTTGGAGTGAAGCCAGTGTTTGACTAGACATATCAAATGAAATGTTTTCCTATATGTAAAACACACTTCTAATTTTGAAGTATAACTCACAACTGGATTTCAAATTTGGATGATTAATCTGATACACTGTGGCAGTTCTTATGATGGTTCGCATAAATGTCTGGGGGGAAATTCCTATGCTGGCTATAGAGTTTCATTTGGTTGCTTTGACTACATTTTTAGAGTTGTTTTTAAACCTTTTGGTTTTTACAAAACCTGTCCAGGTACCTGCCATTCTTCTGCCATCTTCAAATGACACTAGCACTGTTTCTTAACTTTAGTTAACATTACCACTCTCTTGGTTTGCCTCTTGTGCTTCAATCCATAAGTATTAAGCATTATTTGCATGTGTGCTTTTTATTTCCAGGCTTTCTGATTTCCAAGCTTCCAGATCATGGTGCTTAAGATATTCTTCCCCATTTGCTGCTCAGCAGCTGAAAGTGGCCTGCTGGTTGGACGATGGATCCCAGAACAGAACTCCGCTGTTATCCTGGCTGTGATCCACTTCCCTTTCATTCCTGGTCAGGTAAAGCAGTATCTCTCCGAAATGCAACATGCAACACAAGTCAAGCTGTCTGTGCTGGGCTCATGGACTAAAACCAAGCAAGCAAAGGAAGAGAGTTTGGACAGGTTCCTTGAAGACCTTGGCACCATTTTTTCACACGACCCCTGGATCCAACTCAGCAAGGAGAAAGGAAGCAAGTTTTGGAGCTGTTCCGCCTCTTGGAAAGACTCTAATGGCAATGAGGAAGATGAAAATATCTTGGTTTATTATGACCAGCGTAAAGTGATGCTGTCGCAGCTTCACCCCGCACAGGACCAGGTTGTTTCTTCTGATCAGAAGACAGTGGAGGCTTCCAAATTAGTTGCCGTGTTTGACACGGTTGCAAAGAGCAAGTTACTATTCATGAAGGACAGGTATGACGAGGGGCCGGTCAAGCTCACCCACTGGCAGTCAGAAGGAGTAGAAGCCAGTATTATTGTGGAGCTGCTGAAACAGGCCTCTGTTCCTGCATGTATGCTGATAACTTTCCTACTTTCACTTGTGTGTGGAATCTGCAAAAGCAGGTATGTCATGTGGGATGAATAGGAACAAAATCAAACACAGTTTATGCATAGCTTAAATCAGAATGTTGGGTTTTTTTAAATGTCTGTGTAATATTTTGATATGCAAAATTATGTTTTTCTGGTCAGTTTCCTAGTGCAGACTTAATATTGTCAGAAAAGTCATATGCGCACAAATTTATTAAGGAAAAAAAATGGGGGGGCATCAATTCACATTAACAACATTAACAATACAATAAACATCAATGCATCCATCTTAATTTACATGTACAGATCAATACATGCCACTCACACTAAAGGCTCTGCCCCGGTAAGTACCATCCAAAGCCCAGGGACATGTGGGACCACAAAAAGTGTCCCATCAGAAGGCCTCAGGGATCAAGGTGGAGCATAAGGAAACAGGCTATCCTTAAGGTACTTTGGGCCCAAGTTGTTTAGGAATTACACATGTATAGCAGTAAAGTTGTTTAGGGTTTAGGAATGTATAGTGGTGAAATTGCTTTACAATGGGTTAAAAACCAAAACTAATCTACAACGTTTAGTTAATTTATTTCAACAATACATTTATTTCAGCGCAAAGTGCCAATTCTGCCACTTGAAGCAGTCAAGTGGGCACATATGGGTAAGGCATACCCCATAGGGGTATACTCGTAGGTAAACTGGTGCCAAGTTGTTAAGGGCTATATATACTAATAGTAACACCTTGAACTCGTCCCGGTAGCAGATCACCAAGCAGAGCAGACCTCTGAGCACAGGTGTCATATGCTGACAGGCCTCACTTCCATCAGCAATCGTGCTGCAGCATTCTGCACTAACTGCAGCTTCTGGACCAAGTGCAAGGGAAACCACACATGGAGCACATTGCAGTAATCTTGAAGTAACTACTACATGAACAGCTGTGGCCAGGCTCTCCTGGTCCAGGGATGGCCATAGCTGTCAAACCAGTCGCAGCTGGTAAATGGCATTTCTAGCCACTGAGGCTACCTGAGCCTGCAATGACAGAGCTGGATCCAGTAGCACTGTGAAACTGCTGTGAAACACTGTTTCGTGTTTACTGATTCGCTGGCAACAACACCTGCGTTTCATGCCACATGTCAGAGCTGTCAATGAAAGAAGTGTGTCCTTAACACCAGTGTACATGCCCCAGGTAGTCTTGATTGGGCTGGAGCTCCCTGGCTTCTGAACATGGATCACATTTGACATGTTTTCACATGTCCCTGCTGTGAAAGTGGTTGTTGTGTAAAATGTAGACTCTGGTGGCAGCTGGTGCCTGTTAGAACTGGAAGATCGGAAGGCAGGGAGGCCAACAGGAGGTGAAGCCACGGTCAGTGATAGGCAGAGCTAACTAGTTCTACATTTGTCTCTTGCTGAGTTCAACAAGGGGCAACACAGAGGCTAAAGAGGGGGAAGATGGCCAGAAGATGGCTGCCCCAATCCCTAGCCCTGTTGAAATGCCATTGATGTTGGATTCTTCCCCTGTTTTCAATGGGAAGGCCTCTGGAGGATGGCCAAGCGTAATTCTGAATGGATGTGAAGTTTAAAAGCTCTCCCCTGTAAAGCTCAGCAGGCCTTCAAGTGAGATCAGGTTGTGCTGCCAAAACCGGGGGATTGAAGTATTGTTTCCAAGCTGGCAAAGGGCAGCTTTGATTAATTCCATTTGGATACTAGTTACCTAAAGCATTCATGAGCAAACCATTGCAGCAAGTGTTGCCTCAGGCTATAGAGAGTAGAACTCCTCAACAGGTTTCCAACCGACTAATACTGTCATGAAATATTACAGCCAGCTTTTTCATACTTTCTGCCTGGTGTGTAAAACTTGTAGCTTTCAGCATGTCTTCAAATGCCTGGGGGGAACACTGGGGCAGGAATGGAGGTTTTGTGTCAAACTCTTGTGCATGCAGATGAATCTCTGCTACCAGAGGTAATAGGTAGAGCCAGTGCTTTTTTTTTCCTGGGGCTACGCAGGAATATGCGTACCCCTAAACATTTTGCGAATCTTTTTACTTTTGTCCATTTACTGTATTTATTTTCCCCGATTTGAACTATAAAATGGTGATTTTCTTGAGTCAAAATGAGAGTACACCTAAACATTTTTTTTAAAAGAAAAAAAGCACTGGGTAGAGCTAAAGCAATTACAGCAGTTCTGGATGTGACCAGTTTCTAGTAGCTCAGTGGAGCATTAGTTGAAGGTCAGATCATGGAGCTGCAGGGAATCAAGTGGTCTGTAATTGGCTGGGACCAGTGGCGTGGCGTGGGGGGTGCAGGGGGGGCCGTCCGCACCGGGCTCAACATCGGGGGGGCGCGCGCTCGCACTCGCAGCTAAAATCCACAGGTTAGGGGGCGCAAATTACTTGCCTTGCCCCGGGTGCTGACAACCCACGCTACGCCACTGGCTGGGACCCCTTGGATCCCTGCTTACTCTCTGGGGGCCCTTCCTGTCTACCTTATTTGCTTATGGAATCTCTCCTTCCGATATTCTTAATTTAGATCTAATTACAGCTAAAAAGGTCATTAAACAAAGACTGGAGGAGGTAGATTTGCAACAAAATCTAACTACAGGTGGAGGTACATGTTCCCCGATAAATCTGGGCATTACATCTATGTCCCAGATTCCTCGATATCTGTCTACTTTATCGGTTGCGTCGCATAGATTCGCATTTGTTAGAGCCAGATTTAATGTGTTCCCCTCAAATGTGCTGAGCAATAGATTCTCTAACGGTAAAACCTCTGTTTTGTGCGCATGTGACAACAAATCAATAGAATCCCTTTATCATATCTTGTTTAATTGCCCCTTATACATTGTTCCCCGATCAAGGATACTGAGTTCAATCATTCTGGAAATTGCTGCTAAACCACCTGAATTACATCTAGCTTATCTACTCCAGGACATTGACTCTTATAGAACATTACAGGTTGCTAGATTCCTGATTTCAGTTCTTTCATATAAAAGACTTCATGGAATGCTGCATGATTATTAAAAATCCAGTAAACTCTATGCACCATCTTTATCTTCAAGGCCGTAACACGGTACATCTAGAGATTGTAAGTAATGTGAAGGAGATTATGCGTTGAAATATTTTAGTTGATATTTTAGATTGTAAAATCCTATTTTATCTATTGATTTGTTTTACCTTGTGGGCTTATAGCCGAATAAAGTATTATCTATCTATCTACCTACCTTATTTGGGTGAATGGGAAGACCCTTCCCTATGCAAGAGGTTGGCGAGCAGGCTGCAAGTCACACGAGAGGATATTGGACTGCACACACAACTTTGCTGACCTATTATTTATTTATTTCATGACCTGCCCTTCATTAGCATGTCCCAGGGTGGATCACAACAATTAAAAATTAAAAATAGTTTAAGACAGTATAGACACTGAAACAGGGTGTGCCATAAATAGTATAGACACCATTCCTATATGATGCTTGTAATGCAGCTTTTCAATTGAAGCAGAAAATTTCAGCTTTTGCTTGGAAAATTAAATGAAACCACACTATAAATGGATGCCAATATAAGTATAGAAATCTATCTCACAGGAGGCCCCCCCCATACTACATTGAACTATATCCTGCTCTTTAGCACCACCTTGTGGCATACTCTGGGTATGACTGACATTGGATAAAATTCAAAGAACAGATTGATGGGCATTCATTATTTTATAGTGTCAGAGAGAAGGACGAGGGAGTAGCCTTCCACCCCTAAACTGCAAATGTGGTTCTCTACGAATTTCCCACCAAATTGCAAAATCTATGTTGGGGCAATACCTTTATTAAGTCAACAAAATATAACAAAATAGTATACTTTTTTTTAAAAAAAGTTTTCCAGAACCCTCCTTCAGGCTAGTTATAATGAAGATAGATAGATAGATAGATAGATAGATAGATAGATAGATAAGAGTTCGGGAGAACTGAAATGCTTGCACACTATTTTGTGATACGTTGGCTGGCTAAATAAACATACAGTGGTACCTCGGGTTAAGAACTTAATTCGTTCTGGAGGTCTGTTCTTAACCTGAAACTGTTCTTAACCTGAAGCACCACTTTAGCTAATGGGGCCTCCTGCTGCCACCGCGCCGCCAGAGCACGATTTCTGTTCTTATCCTGAAGAAAAGTTCTTAACCCGAGGTAATATTTCTAGGTTAGCAGAGTCTGTAACCCGAGGTACCACTGTATTGCTGTTACACAGAATTTACTCCTTTTTTCTTTTTTACTTTTTGTATTACCAGAAAATTGTATGAATTTTCTGGAATAATATCCAGGCCAAATAAGCCTTTTTTGGTCACTGAAAGGAGAATTCCATGAGCTATCATATTTATTTAATGTGTTGCAGGATGTGAACTGGTTTATATAAATGTTGCAGAAACTAATGCCGATAAGGAATAAAACAGAGGAAATATATTATCACAAGCCTTAAATGGGAAGCTGTTTGATAAGGAGATATGTTTTTTACAAATGTAATCACATTCTCCATTAAATGCAACATGGGTTGAAGAGTTTCTAGGTAAATCCTGCTGGTCTTTCTGCTCTGCATTTAAAATATTGAACAGAAATCTTAATCCTGGATTAAATAATTCAGAAGGCCTAGTTGTGTTCTCAGGTGGAAATGGGTTAGTTCCCCCCCCAAAAAAAGAGACACTTAGTTTTTCTACAGTGCAGCATGCCACTAGCAAAAACATTATCTGAAAAGCTTTTTAGAGCTCCTCGTAGTCTGTTTAGGATTATATCATTCTGAATAATCTGGTGTCATATTCAAATGGTTGCTAATTCCAGATTATTCATCATTAAGTTTAACAGTGTCCTATATAATTAATTGAACTGATTGAAGGTTGCAACCCTAGATATTAGATTTAAAAATGTAAAACAAAACAAAAAACCCCACGCACAACATTTTCCATACTTCTGTTTCTACTTTGTGCTTTGGAATTCCCTTGTGGTAAAATAAGGTCCTGCAGACTGTAATTCTGAAATAAAAGGAAATATTAAAAGGAAATTATGTTTTCCAACATGACTTTGTATGTCTCCCTATTTATGTCGCCAAGAAGAGCAGTTAGCCCTAGGCTGCCGCCACCCATTGGGTCTTTTAGAGCAATCAACAAGCGACACTTTCTTTCCTCTGTCACTTCAGATGTTGTTACCAGGCAGGCCAATTGAACGGATGTGCGTTCATTTCGCTCCAAGGTGGTGGGCTGCAGCAAAGTGCAGAATAATTCGGGGGATGTGAGCAGGGAATTGCCCTGCGCTGCATTTACTGGGGATGCACCTCAGCTGTCCAGGGTGGGGCAGACAGAGATGAGCTCCGAGGCTTTGAACCTGACAAACCTTTTGTGAAGGGTAGCTGAAAAGGCCTCAAGGGCCGCCCACCATGAATTCTGCTGGGCTTTTACCAGCTTAATGGTTATTCCTGATGCCTTTGAGCCGATACACTTGTGTGACAACCAACCAAGTAACAATGGGAATGTGTAACAGTGCAAATCCAATCTGGTGGCGTGTGAACTTGTTCATTCATGAGAGATCCCCTTCCATGGACGCCCAAATGGCTGGTTTAGGGGTGTGGATGTAAAGGCATTATAAAGTGATCACTGCAGCATTTCAAAATTTTCAGGTGTTTTCATCTGAAGAAGCATGGGGAGTCCTGGGAATCTTGCACAATCATTTTCATTGACTGACATTTTTGCCTTTTTTGTTTGTTTTCAAATCTAGAGTGTTGACGTTTTGGCCCTTGTCTTTCATCTGGAGCAAGCTGTCAACTTGTGAGCAGCTGGGGCACCGGCTGCAGCACCTCCAAATTATCAGTAGCAGGCGGAAGGCTCCAAATCAGACTCAGCTAATGAGGTAAGGCCTGGAGGTGGGAATTCTCCTGGTAGATGTGAACAGGTCTGTGTCCAAATACATCAAAACAAACTATGCGATTCACACACACACAAAAAAAACAACTCTCACAGTTCCTATTAGTAGTATTGCCCAGGAACCAAATAACTACTCCAAACATACCCAAGCACCCTGGCACAGCCCAGTAGAATATTCTTTCTCTCTTTCCTTCTTGTATATGCTGATCTGTAACAAGCTGGTAGGCAGATCCAACTTCACAAATCCAGCCTGTTTCCAGCCCTTACAGCATTCAAGAAAGATGTGGACATTTGTAAGCAATAACTACTGAAATCTTAAAAGCCAGAAGCACTGTGTCATCTGGTGGCCATTAGGACTGGTAGGATGGAAAGTTGGGTGGCCAACAGGAGGCAGAGCCAATGGCAGACAAAACCAACTAATTCTAGTTTTGTCCCCATCTTCCCCCCAACAGAGTTCTACAGTGGCAGTGCTGAGGTTAAGAAGGAAGAGGCAGTGCCACCCTCTGGACCTGTTCAAAGTAAAGGCAGGCAGGTAGAGGCCGGCTAAAGACAGAGTGAGGGTGTACCATGTACCCTGATGGACCAGCCACCACTCTTTGTCATGGCCTTGCTCAACTTGGAAAGAACTCCCTGAAGCTAAAAACTGTGGGATATGTTGATTAACTATAGCACAGAAATGCTTGGGGCTGACTTTGTGGGTTGTTTTTTTATGAGTGAGGTGGAAGACTACTATCCTGTTGCCCAAAATATAATTGCTGTCTGTTTGCTTTGCTCTTTTTCCGGAAATGCCTTTCTGTTCCATGATGCTTATGGTCCATACAGCTGCACCTGAGAGTTTTAGATTAGAACATATTTTTATGTGTGCCCCCATATTCCCACCCACACAACTTCCATTTCTGTCTAGCAGAAAAAGAGGTTGCCCAGGAAACAGACCTGGCAAGCACTGACGCAGCTGTTGGGAATATTTGTACCAGCGCCTACCTTCTGCTCCTTCCCCAGCTGCAGTGACCTCAGATACCCCCTTGAGTACATCCAGCATTTCATGACCCAACGACTGCATTGTATGCCTTATATTTTTATTTGACTTTCGTTGTTGTTGTTGTTGTTTTTGGTTGAATCACTTTGGGTTTTTTGAGTTTTGAATCTTCTTAGCTCTGAAAAACCAATCCAAAAATTATATTTTTACCTTTACTGAATGAACCGATCCAGTCCCGTGGACCACTCTACCAGATGCATACAGGATCTGCTGGGATAATGCAGCTGTTGGAACATCTGATACTTTGTATTGAGTCAAACCCATTATGTCCATGTAGCTTGGTATTATGTACACTGACTGACAGCAGCTCTCCGGGGTTTCGGGCAGAAATCTCTTTCAGCCCTCTTTGGAGATGCTGGGGATTGAACCTGGGACCTTCCGCATGCAAGGTGAATACTCTACCAGTGAGCTGCAGTCTTTCCTCATAATGGTGGTGTGCAAATAGTTTTATCAGAATCGACCCCTGTGCCTGCCTCAGTGCTGAGTGATGCTGGGCTGTCAGAGCTTGAGTCAATACAGCCTTTGCTAACCTGGTGCCCTCTATACATTTTAGACTACGGTTCCCATCAGCCCCAGCCGGCACAGCCATAGGAAGCTGATGGGCATCGTACTCCAAAACATCATGAAATCACCAGGTTGGCAGAGGCTGAGCTAGTGTAAAGTCTGAACTGGCAAACCATCATTTGGATCAGCTGACAGTCCCAAGAACCAGAAAGCATGGTTTGCAAACCCACTTCAAACCATGGTTAGTGCTGTGGCTTGGTGTAATGTCTGAATTGACAAGCATTGTTGCTTTTGTTGTTTAACCTCCAGAAGCCCCTGGAGGTGTAAGTAAAGAAGCAGCTCTCAGCCATGGTTTTACCTGCCTGTTTGGAAATTTTAAACTATAGTTTGTGTTCTATAGGCAATTAATTAATTAAAAGCATTTATACACAGCCTTTCAGTAGGAACTAATTCCAATTTGGTTTACAATAACAGCATTAAGTGCAATAACTATATTAAGAGAAAAAATGTGGATTGCCAAAAATCTAGCTGTTCCTCTCTTGCCTTGAACCTGAATTTACTTATTTCTACCCTGGTTTCAGAAAAGCCAACATATTTCTTTCTCTTCTGATTGACATGACTCTTGGGATACTACTGATGTCCTGGCTGTACCAGAAGAATCGAATTGGTCATCTTGCCAATGCCCTTGTTCCAATGGCTGATGTAAGTTTTTGGCTGAGCCTCATACCCCTGAGGCCCGCACTGTAAGGATTAACTAAAAATGACATCAGCTCCAATATGGTGATGGGTCACTTGCCACGGTGTGTCTGGCACTTTCATTATACAGTTTTCGTTGTATACTGAAGACACACCTCTTCATCTCTTTACCCTGGTCATTGACATCTGGGACCTGTATTTTTAGGACACCCTACCCCAACCCCCACTCTTCCTGTGCTTGTAATTTGTTGTTAACTGTTTTTAGTGTTGTATTTTAAATTGTATTGACCTGACCTTAGGGTGAAGACTGGGTAATAAATCCATAAATCATAAACACTAGCAGTGCAGTGAGGATGTGCAGAATCATAGAATTGTAGAGTTCGAAGGAGTCATTTAGTCCTGCTCTCTGCAATGCAGGAATCACAGCGGTGCAGTTTGGGGAGAGTTCCAGGGCCCAGATACAGAGGTTTAGAGGGCCGCATTTGGTACTTGGGCCTCATGTTCCCCACCCCTGGTTTAAATAAATAAATATTTATTCTACCTTCTACAGTTTCTAGAGAAGACAGTTGTCCATGTCTATTTTATAGCAACCCTACATAGCACAAAACACACACTTGAGTATTAATCACCTTGCTGAGAGACCCTTCTGCCTCTCTCCTCCTTTCCCAATGATGCCACACATGGAGGCAAACAACTGCCTGCCCTGCAGGTTCAACCTGGCATCTGAAAATCAAGATGTGCTTTTCCTGGCATCAGTTTCCTCCAGCAGAAGCAGTTCTGGAATGAGTCCCGAGCATTTGATGGTGCATTGGGAACTCCTGCTCTCTCACTCTCTCTTTATGGTGCAAGTTTGCTTTCAGTCACTGAATGAAGCAAAGTTGCCTAGGAAATAAGGTTCATGTGACAACAAGGACCTAATTTACATGTTCCTTTCCCTGAAATTCAGTGAAAGAAATGACTAGCGCTCTCTTGCTTTTCTGTCTTCCCTCATTTTCTCTTAATGAACCGTTCAGCCCAGACTGGAATAGAGTCCTACAGAATCTGGCAGTATAGCTGCTTTACAAAGAAATTACCAGGCAATGGCCCGTTTTTGTGCAGCAAAAGCAAGGGTGGGAAATCTTCTTTTTCTTTTTGGTCATTGAGAGATGCAGTCTCTTGGTGGTGATTTCCCAAGGCTGCCTACTAGAGGTGGGTGGAGCCAGAGTGTAAAATGGGCAGGAACAGAGCCCAAAACGGGTTGTGCCAGAACTGAAGATGGGCAGGTCCCATCCCTCCACTTCTTTCTCTGCCTCCCTCTCTCCCCACCCCCAGCCAATGTTTTTCTCAATACCAGCATGAAAGTAGGCCAAGGACCACGTGAGGGCTGAGGGTCAGACATTTAATGAGGTTTCTCCTACATCTCTTTTCTGAAGAGCTGTCTAAAAGCTGGCAACTTGCAAAGGCAAGTCTCCATCTGATTAGACTTTGGGTTGACTGAATATGATTACCTGCCTCTAAAAGAAGTACAGCCCCCATGTACACTCAATGGAGCTTGTGCGGGCAGACCTTCTAGTGCAGGTGTGTGGGACCTTTGCTGAACCATCATTCCTAGCCATTGGCCATACTTGCTGGGTCTGGTGGGAGTTGTGCCCCTTGTTAGCCACTGGGTAAGAAGATACTTTTGAGATATTCCAACCCAGGCCCCAGCATTTTTCAGACCAGCCCTGAATCCTTTCATTGTCAGGCCTGCTTAATATGAATGACTGCAGCTAAAGACACAGTCTATTTCAGGCTGTGGGTTCCCCACCTCTGATCCTTTCCAAAATGGTTAAGCGCTGTGGGTTTCATACTAGGCTAAGCTGAAAACCACAGTTTTATGGATCTTCAATCCTGTGGACAGACATGCAAAGCTGCAGGCACCAAGAGATTCAAACACGTGCCATGCCACAAAATAGCTTTCTTCTATCTTGGATGTTTAAATCTTTAATTCCGGTGGATGCTTTAAATATTATATGAGCTCTGTTTCTAAAGTGTCTTGCGCTTCCCTTTGGAACAGCAAGTCAGTGGAAGTCAGCGGTGGCACAGATCAGCCCTGGACCCTAGCCAGCCAGGCCTCAGATGGGAGTGAAACCGAGGGAGATGGCACAGTCAGTTTGGTTATTAATGAAAACTGCTCTAGCCTGTGGCTGAATCTTGAATGCCAAATGCTGTGTGGCAAACATGGAGATAACCTCAAGTTCATAAATCATAGAAACTAGAGATCTGAAGCCAAATGCTCGGTTCATTTATTTTGAATCAGAACACGAAATCCAGCCCTCCCAGGCTCCTTGGCTTTCAGTCATTCCCAATGGCAGCATTCAGTCTCTCCTGTCACTAGACCCTATACCAGGCTCTCCTCCACCAGCGCCATCAGCCTTCTGCTGCCTTCACAACAGCTGTGCCACTTGACAGCATCAGCACAGGAGTGCTCCTGAGTACTAAATACCTTGAAAGGATTTCCTGTGCTTGTCTCTTCTTTTCTTTCAGTATATATGAGTTTCCCATGCCATTTTGCAAATCTCTTCCTGCCATTTCCATCTTGTGGCTAGAAGCACACAGATTCTTCCCTTGTTGAATTTTACAGTAGGTAATAGCAGGGTGGCACTAGAATATTGTGGACGGTGTTTGAAAGGATAGAGTGCTACCAATGCTGCATGTTTGAGGAGTGGGGTGGAGAATCTGAATAGCAGATCCAATGTCACTTCAACGTGGTAGTGCAATGTGGGGATAGCAGGAGGCACAGGTGTGATTTTCTTTCCCCAGGAAGCATTATGAGGCTGGATCAGGCCAGCAGCCCATCTAGTTCAGCATCCTGTTCTCATGGTGGCCAACCAGAAATCCATTATGGGAAGCTCACAAGAGGCACTCTCTCCACCTGAAATTCCTAGCAACTGGTAGTCCGAGTCTGTGGCCATCACTACTTCCTGTAATAGTGAATGCCACAGTTTAACTTTGTGCTGTGTGAAGGTCATAAGTTGTAAAGAAGACATGGGTGCTGTATACCCAACTCCATCCCAGGAACCTCAGATGTGATGGCCCATTCCAATAAAGTATTGCCAGCTAGCTCCACTCAAGCAGCATCAAAACCCAGAGGTGCTGAGCAATCAAAGGGCTGATGGCAATGACATGTCAGCCACTTCTGGAAACACAAAGGGTAGTGTAGCAAGTGGCCTTCAATGTAGACATAAAACTTGGCTGCTAAGCCCATCCCAAGGTAATTGTTCTTGCTACTTAAACAGAAATCCATCGTAGCTGTATCCATCACTGATGCTTCAGATGAAGGTTTAAAGACAATGAAATATTTAACGGAGGAAAGAATCCTTAACTGCCACTATTGAGGCTCCAGATTAATTGCAGAATACCCTTCATAAATGTCTCTAGGTCAGCTGATAAGTAGAGCAGAACTACTTATCTTGGGAGTATGTCTTTAGGCATGAGCTGTACTTTACTGTAAATAGAACACTTGCTGTAAGTAAAACAATGTGCTTGTCTCTAAAGGGTAGCAGATTTCTAAAGGTTGGTCTCTGGGATTCCCAGTAGAGTCTTCCATGCATTTTCAAAGAATCTTAAGAGACTCTGTCTTATCAGATAAACTTGAGAAAAGGCAACTATACACACACACACACACACACACACACACGACATGTTCAATATATTATCTTATTTATCAGCCTTGAAAATAAGCGCACAATAAGTATTTATTCCTCATACATGTTACTACACTTCCTCGTGTTAGTCATTATGGGAAAGAAAATAGAAAACCAAATACTGGGAGTGGGGGGCATCCTGCCCGGTTGTGTAGAGGCCATGTTAACCAACTATAGGCAACCAGGCATGTGGCTATTCGCAAGACTGAGGATGAAAGAAATATGATACCTCGGAGGTCAGATAGCATGCAGGATTGTCTGTTCTCTTCTTTAATTTCATTCAGAAGTCAGCTAAAACAAAAAGAAATACTTCTTCACCCCGTGCATAGTTAAATTATGAAATTTGCTATGTGAGGATGTAGTGATGGCCACCAACATGGAAAGCTTTAAAAGAGGATTCAACAAATTCACAAAAGAGAAGGCTCTCAATGGCTCCTAGTCATTATGGCTATATTAACTCCGTTATGGGAGGCCATATGCTTCTGAATGCCAGTTGCTTGGGATCACAATCAGGAGAGAGCTATTGCACGTGTGTCCTGCTTATGGGCCTCCCATAGGCATCTGGTTGGCCACACTGAGAACAGAATGTTGGCCTAGGTTGGCCTTTGGTCTAATGTAGCAGGGCTCTTCTTGTGTTCTCTTGTAAGACTCCTACCCTCTGAAACATGTCAGGCCCTGATAAATTATTTCTAATGCCCCTTTCATGTCCCCTCTGGCATTCATTCCCATGGTGGTAACTTTCCTGTTTCCCTCTCTTTCGCAAGTCTACTGAATGGTGTGTTCTTAAGCCCACTGATGTTGATGGACTTTACCCAAGTATCCATTCTGTTTGCCTTAATTTGCACACATAGCTCTTCCTAAGATGTTCTTTACTGTGCAATGTTCTTTTTCTGAAGACCAGATGCTCTCCTCTGCTGCTGAATGTTTTGCTGACTCGCCAACTGGTGATCCAGTTTCTGGAAACGTGGTCTTCATTTTATACTATCAAACAACTTTTTCCTTCCACAACATGGAAAAATTAAATCCATTCCCACCAACAAATCTCACTGTGTACTCCAAACAAGCTGAATGTTTCCAGTACAACCATGAAAATATTATTTTTCCTTCCACAAAGGAAAGAGTAACAGAATCTTTCAGATGATCTCATCTTTTTGCGGGGAGCACGTTGCACACACAACAGAACAGCTTTCTGCTAACCCCAGCTGTTTTATCCTTTATGGTAGCATGTGGCCCAGCAGCTCCAGGACCTTCTGCAGTGGCTGATGGGTGTGCCAGCTGGTTTGAAAATGAACAGAGCTTTGGACCAAGTGTTGGGGCGGTTCTTCCTTTATCACATTCACCTTTGGATTAGTAAGTGCACCTGCGTTTACCTGTGATTTAAAATGAGAGAAAGAATTTTGTGAACTTTTCCAAATGCAAAGGATTTTACTTCCACTTTTAAAGTAAGGTCATATCCAGTGTTCTTCCTGATTTGTTTGCAAATGACTTTGCATCACAGCAAGTGGTGTCAGACCGTTTCCATTGCATTTCCTCATCACTTTCCTTATTGCAGAAAGACTGATCTTTTGGAGAAGTAGATTTCCCCAAATTAACTAGCGATGCCAGCAAAATTGCCATGTTCTGGTAGCATTTGAAGGACCCAAGATACAAGGCAAATCATGCAGAAGTTGTAGTCCAATGTATCAGGAGGGCACTGGAATGGCAAAGACTAATATAGAGCCTGTCCAACCACGAGCAGGCCAGCTTTTTTGGCCAAATGTGCTTACACTCCGTGGACAGAGTGAATTTGGAAGTGAGCCACTCAAGAATTAAGCCAAATCTGTTCCATCCTTGTCCTGTGCTTAACTAAATCAGTTGCAGGGATGCTGTTCATCAACTATGCACCACTCTACTTCCTTTATGTTGACAGGCTGAAATGCACCTGCCATGCGAGTCAGGCAAAAGGGTAATGTGTGCTTACTGGGATTTGTGCTCTGAATGAACATATTAAGATCCATGCAAACCTATATGGCAATCTTTCACAACCCAGTGTCCTCCAGATGTTTTGGACCAATAGCCCAGCCATCATGGCTATTGATCAGGATTGACAGGAGTTGTAGCCCACAAACATCTGGAGAGCACCTGGTTGGGGAAGATTGCCTTAGGGGGTCACCCCTTGGAGAAGAGAGTATATGAGACGTTTGGGTTTTGCCCTTAGCCTTTTGAGGAAGATGGTGGGGGGTGGATATTTTGATGCTACATTGGTTTCCTTCTGTGTTTCAGTAGCCTCTCAATGAACAAGGATGATTTTTTTTCAGTGTTGCTCTTTCCTTTTCTTTCTTTCAGGTTATATCCATCTGATGTCTCCTTTCATTGAGATGATCCTCTGGCATGTTGGCTTATCAGCCTGTCTAGGCCTGACAGTGGCCCTTTCCATCGTCTCTGATATCATTGCACTCATGACCTTTCACATCTACTGTTTTTATGTCTATGGAGCCAGGTGGGTGTGGTTTATCTGCTGCAGCTAGGCATATGCCCATGTGCTAAGAACCACTGTGAACTCATTACTCATCAGCATGTAAGGCCTGAGATTATATCTCACCATTCAAGAGATCACTGAGAGGCCTTTGGGCAGGTAGCTTCTCCAACTTTACAATGTGGAGACTGATCACTCTGAACTGTGAAAAATATGAAGCAGATATTGACCTGATTCAGACATAATGGCCCCATCCAACAAAACATGGTTTGTCAGATCAGGAATGAGCATGTGCCCATGCATTTCCTCCCTTCTATTGCTAATCTTAATTCAGTACTTGCTGGGTTGTTAAATCACAGTTTACATGTACATGCAAGCCAGGAAAATGAGGTTCCTGAAAACCAGATTATCAGACCATAGTTTGGTATCCTAGTTTGTAAGGATCACTCAAGCCGAAGTTTCCTAATACAAAGGTCACAGAAAAGTGTGTTTTTAGAAAACTGAGTAATGTTGGATGAAGGCACGCAAGAGAGTGTGTGGGCACAAGGCTTGTTCCTAGTCCCACAAATCATGGCTCATTGAATCAGGATTGTTGTGTCTCTGAACTAGGCCAAAGATTGTAAAACACCTTGTACAATGTATCTGGTGTTGGTGTAATGTGAACTCTGAAGAGTGTGAGCTATGAAGTCTCAATGATACCCAAGTAATTTAGTTATTATAAAGCAGGGTTGGGGGACTCTGTGCTTCTCCAGAGGTTGCTGAACTAGTTTCCATCATCCTGGCTGGGGCTGATGGGAGCTGGAGTCTAACAGCATCTGGGGGGGGGCACTGATAACCCACTGGTTAAGAACTATGCACCAAAGAATATCTGTGGGATAGTCAGCATGCTGTGTCACCTTTCACAGTGGGGGGCTGGAAGAGAACATACGAAGCGAACTTTTTCAGAGTCCATCTAGGCAAGCAGTGTCTCCTCTGACTGGTAGCATCTTTCCAGGGTCCCAGGTAAAATATATTTTTTCCTAGCCTTCTGCACTTGTCTGGCCCACCAGAGGGTGCTGCACTCTTTACTGTCGCAAACAGGAAAAAACGGGGAGAATGTGTATGCACAGCGCATATCACATTTCATACCCAATACGTCAGGGTTACTTTCACCATAGCCTTTCCAAACAAAATATTCTCTGCTGCATCTTTTGTATCCAAAGACAAGGAGGACAATTGGAGAAAAGAAGCCCAGGGAAACAAAGCAAGTTCTCATAAGGATACCATGCTGGGGAATAAAAGGGCAGCGTTTTCTTGGGCTGCGGGAGACTGGGAGTATAAGGTGGTCAGAGCTGCAGAGAGCATTTGGTGCAGGAGGAGCATTGGGCTGGGTGGCCAGAAGTTTTACTTGCAAAACTGATTCCACCAAGGAGGAAGCTTTTAGGTGGTTCATTCCCAGAACCCAATTAGCAACTCTCCAGGTGAACTTGGATGCCAGAGATCCATCCTGATGACTTATAAGGGTTAGGGTTATAAGGAGTGGGAAGTGGCTGCTTTAAAAACAGTTATGCACAGGAGGCCTGGGCCTGGTATACAGCAAAAGTCTTCAATTGGGTGAGCCGGGCCTATAAGTTGCTCATGTCCTGGCTTAAAATGGGTGGTACCAGTAGCATCATCACCATCTTTTTTTCCTTCCTTCCTTCCTTCCTTCCTTCCTTCCTTCCTTCCTTCCTTCCTTCTTTATTAGAAAATCAGAGGCAGGAGAGAGAGAAGTAAATTGTAGGACAAAGAAAGATGAGGGAAGAAAAGGAAAAATGAGAAAGATGGATATATCTGTTCATTAATTTCAGAAAGCGATTTTGGTTCTGAAAGGGGGTAGGACTATAAATCAGTGGTAGAGCATCTACTTCGCCTGCAGAAAGTTCCAGGTTCTGTCCCTGGCAGCACCTTCCCGCAGGGCTGGGAAAAGCTTCTGTTTTGAAAACCCCAGGAGATGCTGGCAGACATTATAGACAGTGACCTCGATGGATCAGTACTTTGACGCAGTGTGAAGCAGCTTTCCGTGTTCCTGTTCTGAAGCCTACTAAGTTTTCAAACTTCAGTCTTCAGAAAACCTTTTCCACAGGGACTACTGGCCTATTGAAACACCCCCTCAACTCCTGAGCATTCCAAGATAGGTTCTAGGGTACACGTTTGAATACTTGTTTACCGCAAGAGCCAAGATCCTTTTCCAGAATTCACTTGTAGGCAACCTTCCAGGGGCTGCATGCCATAAGGTGGACAGGGCATTTCATGCAGTGGGCAGTGTTTCCAGCCACACCAAAGTCAGGGATTTGCACACATGCTCAGCTCTCCCTCCGGGCGAGCAAAAAGCATTTTCACACTCATTCCAGCCAGGTAGAAGCATTCAAGGAAGGCGTAGAACATGGTTGGTGAGGGCTGGATAGCGAGGCCTGAAAGGCTGCGTTTGTTCCCCTGCCTCAACCTCTCTGCCTTTGGGCCTCACTGTCACTTTACATGACCTGGTGGAGAAAGAGACCTGGCTTTCTCCAGTAAACATCCTGCCTTGCCAGATGTGCAGTGGAGTGCCCAGCCAGGAACAAAGAAAGCTGCCATTGGAATTTTATGTATTTATTTAATTAATTTATATACTGCTCTTCATCCAAAGATCTCAGGGTGGTTCACAAGAAGGAATGAACCTCATGGTTAGACAGCTGGCTGAGGAGATCCCTATTGAAGCAAGAGCCCCTAAAGGTACTTTTGGGGGTGGACAGAGGTATTTTCTATCCGTCACGATTTTGTGCTTTCCCCCTCTCTGGACCCAGGCTCTACTGCCTCAAAATCTATGGCTTGTCGTCACTGTGGCGCTTGTTCCGTGGGAAGAAGTGGAACGTCTTGAGGCAACGCGTGGACTCCTGCTCCTACGACTTGGACCAGGTGAGGGTTTTCAGGGTGTCTGGGAGGGAGATAGTTCTGTGTTTCCGTGTGGATTTGCATGTGCACACTCACCCCCTCCCCTCCCCTGTGGTGCATATGCAAAGGGCTTAATTTGGCATTATTTCCAATGGTTTGCTGTTTGTCACCGGCTGTGCATCTGTAGGTGTATTGGCAGAAAGAGCTGCAATTCAACCTTTTGTGCATGTTTCTGAACACCGTGGATGCTGGTGCATATCAGGAACATTCAGTCCCAACCTTCCTCTTTGCCCATACAATGGCCAGGCACGGCCTCCCTGTGTATCACTCAACCCTGAATCTCACTGTTCTCCGCTGGCCAATTTTCTGCCTGGCTCTCAGGCAATTATAGCCGAAGGGGGCCTAATCCCTGAGAGACTCCTTTGGCAGATGCCTGGTGCCATACAAGTCAGAGCGCTGGAGTGATAAGGGCGGGTGGGGAGGGGGGGAAGCAATTTGAGTAAAAGACACCAAATAATTACAACCATACCCCCACAGTGTTGCCATAGTTACCTGCTGCTTTGTGTTTCTATTAAAAGGCTCCATTTAATTCACATCAGATGGAGTTGGGCCCACACATTCCCATCAGGATGTGGATAATGTTTTGAAGTGGGGTGGGGGGGTGGCTCTATCTGCTGCTTACCTTTTACAAAATGTCAAGGTAACAGCATGACCAGTGTGGAGGCTGGGTCCCCGCAATCCCCAACCCTGCTTTCAAACAAAGCAGGAAAAGTGAGGAAGCTAGGGCTGAACTTCCTTATCACTATTTTACTCCTTTGTCTGCCAGGAGACAAGAGATTGCTGGGGGTGGGGGTTGCAAGATGCAAATATTCCTTCCAGCTTCTGCTGCTGTCTCTCTGAGCTTTGGAGATCTGCTTAAGCAGAGCGTGCTGCTGAATTTTGTCTGAGGGCTGTCAGGTTCTTCTCAGTCTAGAGTTGGCCAAGGAGGCCACTGCTCTTCAGTCCTTCCTGGGGGGTGGGTATGTGGCAAGGGAAGTGCTTTAAACCAAGTTGTTTCTTGTTCTCGTCAACTGACGATCTTTTATATCAGAGTTCAGGAACCTCAGGTTCAGGGGCTGAATGTGCACTTCCAAGCCTCTCTGTCTGACCCCGGGACCACACATTCCTTTCCCAGCCCCAGGCCCTACTGGCCCTGCTTCACACCCTCCAAGTGTTTGTTATCGTTATCGTTATCATTAACATTATCATTATTTATTAAATTTGTCTACCACCCTTCATCCAAAGATCTCAGGACGGTTCACAACATAAGATTACAATATAAAAAACACAAAATATATAATAAAAGTAAGACCAAAAACAAACCACTATTTTCCCCTCCCACAACACATTTAAAAGGGCATTGGATGTCTATCAGCCCAAGGCCTGGTTGAAGAGGAATGTTTTTGCCCAGCAACTAAAGGTGTATAATGAAGGTGCCAGCTGAACCTCCCTGGGGAGAGCATAACACAAACAGGGAGCCACTGCAGAAAAGACCCATGCCCATGCTGCCACCCTTCGAACCTCTTGTGGAGGAGGCACATGAAGAAGGGCGTCAGATTATGATTCCAGGCTCCAGATAGGTTCATATGGATGTATTGCAGTCCTGAGTTCTTTAAGGCTTTAAAGGTCAAAACCAGCAGTTTGAATTGGGCCTGGAAACTAATTGGCAGCCAGTGCATTTGGGCCAGGATTCATGTAATATGGTCAAACCATCTTGCCCCAGTGAGCAACCTGGCTGCCAAATTCTGCACTAGCTGAAGTTTCTGAAGCATCTTCAGAGGCAGCCCTACATATAATGCATTGCAGTAATCTAAGCTAGAGGTTACTAAAGCATGGACAACAGTACAGTGGTACCTTGGGTTACAGACGCTTCAGGTTACAGACACCGCTAACCCAGAAATAGTACCTTGGGTTAAGAACTTTGCTTCAGGATGAGAACAGAAATCGTGTGACGGCAGCATGGCGGCAGCAGGGGGCCCCATTAGCTAAAGTGGTACCTCAGGTTAAGAACAGTTCCAGGTTAAGAACAGACATCCAGAACGAATTAAGTTCTTAACCCGAGGTACCACTGTAGTTAGGCTATGCCTGTCCAGATAGGGGCACAGGTGAGCCACCAGCCAAAACTGATGGAAGGCACTCCATGTCACCAAGGCCACCTGAGCCTCAAGCAACAGCAAAGAATCTAGAAGTATCCCCAAACTGCATACCTTCAGAAGAAGTGTAACCCTGTCAAGAGCAGGCAACCTCCTAGCCATCTGGTCTAGGGAACCACCCACTAACAGTGTCTCAGACTTATCTGGAATGAGCTTCAGTTTATTGGCTCTCATCCAGTCCATTACCAAGGTAAGACAACAGTCCAGCACATCTACTGCCTCACCTGCAGATATTGCTGACATCATACGCCAAACCTGTAAACATTTTCACTGGCTGAAATGTGGCTTTGAGTTCTGATAATGCCTCTCACTTCTCTGGATGGTGTATGAACGTGTATAGAAGATAGCTTGCAGTACAAAGGTATAATTTACTCTCCCCACTCTGCCTGCTTTTGCCTATGGCCCTGCCCTCCACTGGCATGTGGCCCCAGAAGGTTGCCCAGAATGAAATGTATCTGAAAACAGGAAGGATAAGGCTTCTTTGCTCTCAGAGTATTTCAGCCTTGTATTGCTACTGACTCATAACTTAGATCTCTTTTTATAGCTGGCTTCAGCTACTATAGGATTGATTTGTGTCCTTTTCCTCCTCCAGCTATTCATCGGCACTTTGCTGTTTACCATCTTGCTGTTTCTTCTGCCCACAACCGCACTGTACTATTTGGTCTTTACCTTGGTAAGTTTGCTGCCGATTTTGTTGCTACTTATAAATGCATTGGTTGCTTTTCTATAGGAATGCTCTCAAAGGGATATGCAAAAGTTATGAAGGGTGGCTGAACAGTTCCTGGCCGAAGTGGAATGGAGTTGGGTTTGTATAGTCCAAACAGCACTTGGATGGATGACAGGATGCAAGACTGGGAGGGGAAAGAGGACTTTCCTTCCCCTTCTCCTGGGAACCAGAAAAGAGTCTAGGATGATTGGTCAGTTGATATGCTGGTCCGCCTCAAAATGTGTCTGAGTAGCACTCAATTGGGACGCGGGTGGCGCTGTGGGTTAAACCTCAGCGCCTAGGACTTGCGGATCACATGGTCGGCGGTTCGAATCCCCGCAGTGGGGTGTGCTCCCATTGCTCGGTCCCAGCACCTGCCAACCTAGCAGTTCGAAAGCACCCCCAGGTGCAAGTAGATAAATAGGGACCGCTTACTAGCAGGAAGGTAAACGGCGTTTCCATGTGTGGCTCTGGCTCGCCAGAGCAGCTTCGTCACGCTGGCCACGTGACCTGGAAGTGTCTGCGGACAGCGCTGGCTCCCGGCCTATAGAGTGAGATGAGCACACAACCCTAGAGTCTGGCAAGACTGGCCCGTACGGGCAGGGGTACCTTTACCTTTACTTAGCACTCAATTAAAACAGTTGTGTCAATTGTTGCAATCGGTGGTTGCTGTCTTCAGCCAGCTTCCACCTGCTTGCCTTCTTAGATGTCTGCTTGCTGCCAGTCTAGCAACCAGCAGTTCCTCCTTCTCCTCCCTAGTCTCAGTGTTGCCCTTGTGAGAACTCTGCAGGGAGGAGCAGGAGGGGGACAAATATACCATTAATTGTCCTTGGCTTTGGCTCTGCCTGCTTTTTGTCTCCCTGCCTTCTGCCCCAGAAGTCCCAATGAGTCCCAATGGCCTCTGCTTGCAGCTTCTTCTTTCAGAATGAAAAATTAGAGTATTTGACAAACCTAAGTTTGGCAAATTTGTCCAGTGGTGGTATTGCTGTAGATTGAACTAAAAAAAAAATCCTTTTTCCTTCTAGCTCCGTCTACTGGTGGTGATTGTACAAGGCTTGATCCATCTGCTAGTGGACCTCATCAACTCGCTGCCCTTTTATTCAGTCATTCTCCGGCTCTGCCGATCCTACAGACTTGCATGTAAGCTCCTTACTGTGGTCAAGGCAAGACTTCAAAAGTTGCATATTAGCAGGGACAGCGGTTGGAAATTTTTGCTTAGAAGCAAGTGACAGGCATCTGAAGACTGGTCATGTGTACTTTAAAGCAGGGTTCAATTTCATAGAAACACTCACCACTGCTGCAATGACAATGGTTTGCATAAGGCTTGCATGGTACTGGGAAGGCTATGTGTTTAATTGGTTGCTGGTGGGGAGTTCAGGCAAATTATCACCTGTCATTATGCTTCGCGAACAAGATTCTCTCACCTCCAACAGCTAAGAAACCTTATGGGCATTCACTGGTTTTCTGGTGTTCCTGCCACATACATCAGTAGGGTCACACTGACAAACAGGTCAGAAGGGAGATCACCAAAACCCTGTGGACTGTTTCTTGGGAATCTGCCTTCTACCAGGTTAGACTCTTTGCCCATCTAACTCAGCATTGTCTGCTTAGACTGGCAGCAGCTTTCCAGAGTCTCAGATGAAGAGGGGGGCCTTTCACATCACCTGCTTCCTGATCCTGTTAGCTGGGGATGCCAAGAGTGGATTGAACTTGGGACCTTCCATATGCAAAGTTGGTGCTCTGCCATTGAGCTATGGTGCCATCATGCTGTACATGCAAGAAGTTCAGAAATGCTAAGGGCAGTTAAACAAACACCAGCTTGTTTGAACCCTGAACAAAGTAAAGGGAAAAACTGGACTTCTTCCCTAGTTTATTCACCTTTCTCTGTGATCTTCCTAGCTTGGCTTCTGCATCTTTTAGAGAATCCTTGTTGCAAGAGGAGCGATGAGAGCCTGTGTAGTGTAGTGGTTAGAGTGTTGGGCTAGGACCTCAGAGACCAGGGTTCAAACCCCCACTTAGCCATAAGGCTCAGTTGGTGACCTTGGGCCAGTCAATGCCTCTCAGCTTAGCCAACTTACAGGGTGATTGTGGGGATTAAATGAGGAGAACCATGTGTGCCACCTGAAGCTCCTTAGAGAAAAGGTGGAGTATAAATGCAAGCCATAAATAAATAATGCCCTCTCGATGTTCTTAGACTCCAATTCCCATCAGCCCCAGCCAACTTGGCCTATAGTCGGGGGTGATGGGCGCTGAAGTTCCAACAAGATCAGGAGGGCACCATATTGACTACTGAACCAATCGGCCAATACAGACTGTATCTTTCCATTACCTACTCTTGTGTATTTTCAGCTGGTGTGAAGTTCAGAGTCCTGGAGCAGGAAGCTGGGAAACCTCTTCGACTTCTAATGCAGGTAAATCATGTCATTGCTTGATGGCCTGTGCTTAGGACTTTTCCTGCTTTTTAGAACAACATTTTGCTCTTCCATATTGATCTGCTCCCCAAATTTCCCTTCTGTGAGAGTGCACAGGACTCCTCTTCAGTTTTCTGTAAAACATTTAGCCCAGCAAGGAAGGTGTCAGTTGTAGCACTCTGGATCCTGTCCAATCTGAACAGGCTTCAGTCCCCTAAGATGCTGAGCTAAGCTTGTGTTTAAGTGGCTTGCTGGATCAGGGCCAGAGCCCTTCCTATAACATGTAGTGTGAGACTTGCAGTGAATATAGAATAGCCTTGTGCTGTCACCTCAAATTATGAATCCTCTAGCCATTTCCAGTGGCTTAGAGATTGTTAAGAACTCCACTCTCCTAATTCTGTCTTCCAACAACAGCCATGTCAGAAAAAACACTTAGAGTGCCATTTCTTTGGTATTCTCATGTCAGTTGTGATCTCACATTATGCTGAGCTTCTGCGCTCCTGTTTCCAAGAGTGTGAAATAGATCACCAAACGGTCAGGCGTGAAGCTTTAATGTGAGAGGAGCAACTCTTTATGCGGGAAAGGAGTTGCACGCACAAATCCACACAGGCACACCGCTCACCCTGTGCGCATGACTCAGCCTTGTCCATGTACAGCCACTGCAACTGTCCCTCTCGCTGCTTCTCTCCCGGCAGATAAACCCTCTGACCTACGGCCGCGTGGTGCAGCTGTACAAGCTCCCAACATACAGCTGCTACCCCAAGGACTCCTGGGGCTCTTTGTGCAAGAAGCTGCTTGTTGGGGAGCTGATCTACCCTTGGAAGCATAAAGGAGAGAAGCAGGACTGATTCGCAGCAACTGAGGTGGACGGCAAATGCTTGAGCCGGAAAGGAACACTGGAGAGGCAGGGCTGTTAACTCCTGGCAAAAGACACCTTGGAAACAGCAGCTGCCGAGTGGTACCCAATGGATGCTTCATTTTGCCAGGAATGTGTTGGGCGGTCAGTTTCCAAGGAGGGAGGGAAGGATTCATTTCAGGAATGGGCTCCCCTTTTCCTCTGGATTGAGGGAATTCCTTCTCCCCACCACCACTCAACAAAACATTATCTAATCCCGAGTTAGAAATTGCCAGCCTGGAAGTATCAGGTGGCCAAATTAACGCGACAGCCGAGAGGAAATCTGTTTTCGTTTGTTTGTTTTCTTAGGGTAAGCTGCCATTTCTGCAGGAGCCCAGTGTGCGGTATCTGACACACAATTCCACTTCTTGATAATTTCAGCTTCACTTCCCCCCACTCCTGACATACAAGTGTCTAGCCCAGGTGATTGTGATGATGTAGGTAAAGATGTATGGGCAACACCTGCCACAAGCTTGGGAGCCAAAGGGTTGGCCAATAAGATCCAGTGGTCTGAAGAGTCTGCCCAGCTCCAATCAATTCCTGTTGGGAGACAAGCACCTGGGGAGAGCCAGTGTTTTTATACCCTACTTGCAGGGTTCCCAAAAGTATTTGGCCAGCCACTGTCAGAGACAGGAGGATGCTGGTCTGGTTGGAGCCATGTCCTCATCCAGGAGGACTTTGTTCTTAAGGTATTATGAATTAATGGGCAAGCTAGCTCTGAAATGTATCATGTAGCTTATGTGATTGATTTCTCTTTGACAAATACTTGCCATGGTGGGATGTGAGAGATGGACAAGCTGAATCAGGACCATGGCATCTTTAACCCTCTGCCATCCTGATTAGAATGGAGCCCATGTACATCTGCTATTTGCAACAGGAAGAAAGTTCTCATGGGTGCTAATAGGGCTTTATTCCAATTGAAGATAGCAGGTGGGGGGAATTCTGTGGGCAAGGGGTTACATGCTCTCCCTGGCATACTCCTGATCCATTTCCCACCCACACCAGCTCTTTGTTGAAAAGGAATCAGATATACAATGTCATGCTACATGACAAACATTGTGTCTAGTCTGGTCCATTGTTAATTACAGAGTTCCTTGCCTCCCCTGCTCCTGGCAAGTGACTAGAAACCAATAGCAGATTATGCAAAATTGGGAAAAAAATGCATTGGAAATTATGTAAATATGCTCCCAGGTCACAACATTTAGTTTTACTCATCCCAGACTTTTTCTTTCTTTTATAGAGTATATGACATGGTTGTTGTTTTCAAAAGTAGCCCCACTCAGCTTGTCACAGCACTTCTACAAGCGTATTGTGATATGTCCATTAAAAGGGGGGGGGTCATTACAGGCAGTGACCATTTTGTGCAAGGGTTCTGTTCCCTGCCCCCGCGCATGTCGGCGGAACGCATATAAGCCCGTCCCACCCTGTTCCACCCCGCCCCCATTCTGCCTTCTTGTGGGTCCGAGGACCTGTGCGTAGGCAATCATGCATCAGTTGGACATGTCTAAAATGGTCACTGCCTGCATTACACCGCCTGTAGGACAATTCTAGGACAAATGTAGACTGCTGCAAAACTTTGATATATAAATATTTAGTAGAGAATACACACTTGCCATTCTTTTTTACAACATAGACCAGAAACCACAGATCTTTATTATCTAGTATTTGATCATTCTGAGCTCCCTATTACATAATTTGGCCCTAGTGAGGCTTAGAACAATTAGTAAGCAGATGATGGATCCATGTACTTGGTGATTTTAAAAAATGTTTTAAGCCATTTTATTGGACATTGAATTCTATATTGGAGGCAAATCTGCTTTGAGCAGCCTAATAGAAGCTGGTGGTGGTGCAGGCAGGATAGCCTCTTATCTGTTGCTTAATTTGGGAGCAGGACTTTATTGTATTTCAGGCAACTTGACGTGAGAGAAATGATTCCTAGACAAGAAACTGGAAGCATACTTTGCTTTTCAAGTCAGCTCCATTGAAAGTCCTTGGGGCGGATTCTTTCTGAATAGTTTTAGGTCAGTGTGTTTATGTAAGATGAAGGCCCAAAGTACTCACTGCCTTGCCATTAAGTTTCAACTGAAGAGCCATTACTAAGTGCCACAGTACAAAGCAATAATCGGTGTACCTCTCAAGTCAGCTCCTCTATGATGGCCAAGAACATTCCTGGTTTTTTTAACCTTTTTTTAAGTCAAAGCTTTAATGTTCATTTCACCACCAGTCCTTGATTTCCAACATGTCTTCCTCCTACCCATTGGCATTTCTGTTTCCACCATGCCTCATAGCAGGTGGTACCTGCCAATCTTAATAGCACAACCACTAGCCTCCAGCTGTGTGACACACACACACTCTCTTTAGCATTAACATTGCTCTCTACTCAGGACAGACAGTGACGACATACCCAGGGCACGATTCAGGCCAGTGCTTCCATACTTCATCCTCAGGCAAACAGCAATGCCCTGAGTGGGGAATTCAGGTGGTTTTGGCAAGGCCAGTGGAGCAGGCCCTGGCCTTGAGACACTGCCAAGGATGGGGCACTAGGGGACCCCTTCAAACATGGAGCTGGCTGGCTCTTGCTTAGCTGTGAATCTGGACTCATTTGGTGCACTGCCAGCCTCGTGTAGCAACAGCCAAATACACAGTATTGTCCTTCCTTGCGATTTGATGTGACGTGATTGAGGCCCATTTAGTAGCATGGGTGCACCTTGCAGCACCTCCATGTCTCTCTTTCACCATATGGACTCCCATCAGAGAGAGGCCGTTATTTGTATTTCCCTGCTTTACGTTGACAGATGTGCATTGAATCTGATGTTGCCACATAGCCACTGTGTATATTCTTAAGCCATAACAGAGACAACCTTTAGCTGTGACACTTGTGCCTAGTCATAGAGCCCTGTTCTGTGTGCATGTGGTCTTGTGTATGCACAGTGGGCCTTGGAAAAACACTCGTAAAGTTACACACTCCATGTTTCTGAACAAGACTCCAATACTGCACAGAACCACCATCCCAATGAAAATGAAATCTCTTCGTATGTGCATCTTGCCATGCTCATTGCAGGATGGAGATCATAAATCGTTCTAATTTCTCTCTCACTTTTACTTAATTTGCTGAGAGTTCGCATGAATGTCCTCTTTCTTGTGTCTGCTTTTCCCTGGGTCTTGCTCTGGTGTGAGCATTGTTGTTGGCCTGAGGGGGGCAGCTTGCCAATCCCACTCTGGTCACAGGCAGAATGGAGCAAGCACTCAGCTTGCTGCACTCATCTTGCTGATGCCAGCACTCTAGAACTCTTAAGGGGGAGAAGACGTGCAGCCTGATCTTCTCTTTTTTTTTTTTTTAATAAAATTTTTATTGGTTTTAGAAACTTTTTAAACAAAAAAACAAACAAACACCAAAAATGACAAACATACACGTATAGTTTCAAACATATTTTCATAAACTTCTTTCCTTTGACTTCCCCATACCCCCCCTCTCTGCATCCCAGTGTCCAAAGTTCCACTAGCAACTCCCAATTGTTATTTTCCAATCTCTATCTTCTTAGTTCTTTTTTAAATTTCTAACCTTATATCCCTGTATCCCTTTATTTCTGAAAACCGCAACATTTTAGCATTCATTGAGTTTATAGTAGTCCTTAAGATAACTTTTAAATTTTCTCCATTCTTCTTCCACCGTCTCTTTTCGTTGGTCACGGATTCTGCCTGTCATCTCAGCCAATGTCATATAGTCCATCACTTTCATCTGCCATTCTTCCAAAGTGGGTAGATCTTGGGTCTTCCAATACTTTGCGATGAGTATTCTTGCTGCTGTTGTAGCATACATAAAGAAGGTTCTATCCCTCTTTGTCACCAATTGGCCGACAATGCCCAAGAGAAAGGCCTCTGGTTTTTTCGCGAAGGTACATTTGAGTACCTTTTTGATTTCATTATAGATCATTTCCCAGAAGGCCTTAATCTTCGGGCATGTCCACCAAAGGTGGTAGAAGGTACCTTCAGTCTCTTTACACTTCCAACATTTGTTATCGGGCAGATGATAAATTTTTGCCAGCTTGACTGGGGTCATGTACCACCTGTAAATCATTTTCATTATGTTTTCTCTTAAGGCATTACATGCCGTAAACTTAACACCGGTGGTCCATAACTGTTCCCAGTCGGCAAACATAATGTCATGACCAATGTCTTGTGCCCATTTAATCATGGCTGATTTCACCGTTTCATCCTGTGTATTCCATTTCAGCAACAAATTATACATTCTTGACAAATTCTTAGTGTTGGGTTCTAACAGTTCAATTTCTAGTTTTGATTTATCCACTTGAAAGCCAATTTTCCTGTCCTGTTTGAAAAGCTCCATTACTTGGTAGTATTGAAGCCAGTTTTGTACTTTATCCTTCAATTTGTCATAGCTTTGTAATTTCCACTTGTCTCCATCCTGTTCCAAAATTTCCCAATACTTCGGCCATCCGACCTCCATATTGAGTTTCTTTACTGCTTTAGCCTCGACTGGTGACACCCATCTAGGGGTTTTGTTTTCCAACAGATCTTTATATCTCATCCATACATTAAACAGTGCTTTTCTAACAATATGATTTTTAAAGGCACTATGCTGCTTAGTTTTGTCATACCATAAATATGCATGCCAACCAAAAACATTATTAAGACCTTCCAGATCCAAGATGTCTGTGTTCTCGAGGAGCATCCATTCCTTCAGCCAGCAAAAAGCTGCTGCCTCATAATACAATTTTAAGTCCGGCAGGGCAAACCCCCCTCTTTCTTTAGCGTCTGTCAATATTTTAAATTTAATTCTGGGCTTTTTGCCCTGCCAGACAAATCTCGAAATATCTTTCTGCCACCTCTTAAAACATTCCATCTTGTCGAGAATCTGCAAGGTCTGAAACAAAAATAACATTCTAGGCAATACATTCATTTTAATCACTGCAATTCGGCCTAACATTGACAATTTCAAATTTGACCATATTTCTAGATCTCTTTTAATTTCTGACCAGCATTTTTCATAGTTGTCCTTGTACAAGTTCAAATTTTTAGATGTTAAATATACCCCTAGATATTTCACCTTCTTAACCACTGTCAAACCTGTCTCCTCTTGAAATTTCTCCTTTTCCATATCTGTTAAGTTTTTCCCTAAAACTTTTGTTTTTTGCTTATTCAACTTAAATCCAGCTACCTGGCCAAACTGTTGTATTATTTCTAAAGCCTTTTTCGTGCTAGTGTTTGGCTCTTGCAAAGTCAATACTAAGTCATCTGCAAACGCTCTCAACTTATAATGTTTAGCTCCGACCTGCACCCCTTTGATCTGCTGGTCATTTCTTATCATATTCAGCAACACCTCCAGAACTGATATAAAAAGTAATGGGGAAATCGGGCACCCCTGTCGTGTTCCTTTTTCTATCTTAAGTTCCTCAGTCACAACATTATTTACAATCAGTTTAGCTTTTTGTTCTGAATATATTGCAGCCATACCATTCTCAAAACCCTGGCCTACCCCCATCCCATGAAGATTCTTCCTCATAAAGCTCCAAGAAATATTGTCAAAGGCTTTCTCCGCATCCACAAAGATCAGTACTGCTTTAGTGTTTATATTCACCTCTAACTTTTCCAGAATGTCTATTACATTCCTTACATTGTCTGCCAGGTGTCTTTTAGGGAGAAAGCCTGCTTGGTCCCTATGAATCTTCTCCATCAACACTCTTTTAAATCTTTTTGCTAAAATGTCTGCAAAGATTTTGTAATCCACATTAAGTAATGATATTGGGCGGTAGTTCTTAAGTTGGGTCTTTTCAGTCTCTGATTTTGGTATGAGTGAAATATATGCTTCTTTCCACGATTCAGGTGCCTTTTTTCCCTCAAGGATCTCATTACAAACTTCTCTTAGTGGTTGAATCAACCATTCCTTCAACGATTTGTAGTATCCGGAAGTCAGTCCATCTGGTCCTGGAGATTTGCCCAATTGCATATTCTGAATGGCAGCCTCTATCTCTTGTTCTGAAATTCTCTGGCTCAAATCCATCTTACTTTGATGAGAGATACTTTGTAATCCATATTTTTCAAGGAATTTATCTATATCTTCTTCATTTTGAGGGCCTTGAGTGTAAAGTTTTTTGAAATAACTTAAAAAGCAGTTTCTAATTTCATTGGGTTTAGATATATTTTTCCCATCCACCTCTAGGCTTGTAACTGTATTTAATTTCTGCCTTTTCTTCAGTTGCCATGCCAAGAGTTTGCCACATTTATTTGCTGATTCAAAAGTCTTTTGCTTCATTTGCTTTATCTTCCATTCAATCTCTTGGTTCATCAATTCCATATATTGTGTTTGATACAGCTTGATCTCTCTCAGGATTTCCTGAGACTTTGGTTTTGTTCTTAATTTTCTCTCTCCTTCCTTTATCATTTCCAAAATCTTTTCTTTTTTCTCATTCTGTTTTTTCCTCTTTATTGAATTTTGTTGTATCAAAAATCCTCTCATTACCGCCTTACTTGCGTCCCAGATCACTCTTTTCTCCACGTCGGTCCTCAGATTTATTTCAAAGTAGTCTTTTAAAGTCTTTTGGGCCTTCGTGAGAATCTCCTTATCTCGAAAGAGGGTGTCATTCATTCTCCATCTAAATTGACCAGTTGTTGTGATTTTCATCTCCATCTTCAGGGCGTTATGGTCGGAGCAAGTTTTTGGACAGATTTCCACTTTCTTAATCTTTGGAGCCATTCCACTAGTAATCCAAATTTGATCGATTCTTGTCCAGGTCATCATTGCTTGGGAGAAAAAAGTTCCCTCTCTCTCCAGAGGGTTCCTTGTTCTCCATATATCTATCAAGTCCATATTTTCTGTCATTTCAAAAAAAGTCTTAGGGAGTCTCCCTTCCTTGCTTACTATTAGTCTTTGTGCCTTGTCCATGTTAGTGGAGACCACGCCATTCATATCTCCCATGATTATCATATTGTAATCCAAATGGTCAGTCAGGGTTTCGTGAAGTCTCTTAAAGAAGTCAGATTTGCCTTCATTCGGTGCGTAAATTCCAACCACTAAAAATTTTTCTCCTTGTACTTGTATTTCCACTGCCAGATATCTCCCTTGTTCGTCCTTGAATATCATTTTTGGGGCCCATTTCTCTTTCACATATATTACAACTCCTCTTTTCTTGACTTTATCTGATGAAATAAATTCTTGTCCTAGCCTTTTATTAATGAGTAGTCTCCTGTGGGCTCTGGTTATGTGAGTTTCTTGTAGACATATCAAATCCAGTTGTTCTTTTTTCAATATATGGAATACTTGTCTGCAGCCTGATCTTCTCTGTCTGCACAGTGTCAGTGCCTGTGTTGTCTTCTGCCAAGCATTGGAGAACGCCCGGGAACTCTTGCCCTGCCCTGGCATTGCCAAAACAGGACTTTACTTCTCTGTTAGAATACTGCTGCCAATAAAAATGATTTATCTGAGCCTTTCTTGCAAAACTATGTTAGTGCTTCACTTAAAAGCAACAAAACCGCATCTTAAGCAATGATTATGGTCTAGAATCCCTACCGTAAGTAGAAATACACCACTACTACTACTACTCTTGCTCAAGCACCATGTGATGTTGTCAGCAGGAAATATCTCCCTCCTTAAGTTACATAGAAAGATTCTGCTTGTGGTTTCTGGGGTTTGCCTTC